GTTTAACTCACCTGCGATTAGTCCCACCTCACACGTGGGTTCCTCGTATGCGCAGGTCATCATCGTCCCCACTGTGTCGTTCACTATGGCAACCACATCTAACTCAAACTCCTACAAACCGACAACAAACAGAAAAATGGTCACAAGCCAGAGTACAATGAAAGATGCTGTTGTAGCTGTCCTACAATTCAATAATCATGCGTTGTGTTTCAGCCTAGTAAGTCGATGCACCGAAGGAATTCAGTGTTCATTTAATGTATTCTAAATAGAAATGATCACATGAATGGTTCCCTTTACTGTCAGCTACATAGGTTTTTTCTTTCTTTACCAAATACCAGATCATTACTGCTGCCAAAGATAAATCCTTATCAAAGATGTTAATACCTGACAGCATCCTCCACTCTATATTAAAGCAGTGTTATATTTCTGTCATACGATGCTGAATGAGTTTGGATTAATATCAGGTCTTACAACTTCTCAAACAGCACGCTGAGCACAATGCAGTTCACTCGCATTCCTCGACAGACTGCACGATGAAATACACAAGCTGTTTCAGAGAGCTGCAGAGTTCAGGAGCAGTGCCAAGCACATCAAATACACGGGAGCATCCCTTGTCGTTGCTGCAGGTCTGTTATTACATGCTATTACAACAGTAACCACACACACAGCTTCAATCCTGCGCTGCTTTACCTGTCAGTCAGTGATTACGTTCACATAATACTTACTGGATTCTCCATCTAAAAGAGCGAAATCAATACATGAAACCCAAAACATGTGAAGGAAATTTTTGTCAGTTAACAATCATCAGAAATCAGCTTCAGAAGCGGCCTTCTGGTTCCCATAACGGTCCAGTGGAGTCAAGTGTGTCTATGCTAGAAGTCCAAAGGTGTGTGTCTGCCAGCACTTGTGTGTTCATGTGGTGTGGTTGATAAGTTCATATATATATCGTGTGATCCTCTCTACTTATGACCAGCGTTAGCGTCTATTCTTTCCCTTTGTTGTGAGTGGGTATATTCAGTCAAAATGAAAGTAGTTCTGTACAGTGTCTGGACAAAAACACTTCAGGCTAAGAAACCAAAGCTGTGAAATCACGTAGTCTACATCTAAAACATCACTTCAAAGGCTGCGGTGAACACCATGTATCTGCTGTTGAAGAAGTGTGTCGACCAGAAGTGACAGGACGACAGGAGAACTTTGAAAGCAACAGGATTGAAAGAGCACAAACTATGCTCAAATTATACAAGGTCCAAATAAAGCTCACATGAAGTCTTTCAGTTCTGGGCAGTAACCGCCACAGCAGCATTAGCACTCGTTTAACTACATTTCTCAGTCTGAATCCAAACTAAGGATCAGTTATGCGACACCACAGTAAAAACATATATTCATAGTCAACAGAAGCATTCCCATACATTCCCATACATCACACGTCAATCAGCAGCTTGCAGCTTGTCAGCAGATGACTACTAGAAAACAGGTTTTTCACACTGTCTTCAAACAGAAAATAAATACAGTTAAACATAAAATCAGTGAATAAAGTGCCTGGTGATGCAGTAAACTACTTTTGTATCTTGCATAAAATACACAAAGTGAGTTTTTTACTTTACGGTCTTTAGGTCACTTGAACAAACCTTGATTTAATCATTCTACTCATTAATTTCTTCCTGTGGTGTTCTTAGGTTGCCATAAATTTCAAAATAGTGTAAAAAGCAATGCTGCGTCTGTGTTGCTGCGGTTCTAGGAAAGTAAAGCTAACATTGTGATTGATACGTTTTTGGGCTGCGATTACCTCTTTCCTCTTGATCGCTTCCCGAAGAAGCTCCACGACATCTTCACCCTCACAGTCTGTGGCCTTGAAACCTTTGGTCCAGGTTACGAGGATACCCTGCAGAGCACACGACACTAAACCTGTAAAACACACTGCGTTTGCATATATAGACGCACTTCATAATCTTCTGAAGGACTAAAGCAACTAGAATGCGAAGGAAAAACATGGAGGCGTTGTTTATAACCGGTGTAGTACGTACTGCATCCAGGCTGGTCTGATGGCAGGGGAAAGAGAAGGTGAAACCCAGCGGCAGTCGAGCACTTTTCATTCCCATGTAGTCCAGGAAGTCGGAGATGCAGTACACAATGTGGTCAAAGAGCTGCAAAGAAACATGCTTTTAGCCCTTTGGTATGGTTGGGAGATAGGTTAGGTCGGCTGATACTTCTCTCTCTTCATTTGTAAGATAAAGATTTCTCATCACAAGATCAACCAAATGGATTTGGATCCATCCTTAAAATATTCTTTATTATGGCCAGAGGTGTTTAACTCAATAAAACAGGAGGCACACGGCAGTAAATCTACTCGTGTTACGAAGCAAGAAGGACTTTTGGTGCAAAGGAATGAGAATAATTTTGCGTGAAAATCATTCCGGGGCAGCAAAAGAACAAAACCGGTCCGCACCTCTTCTCCTGTGCCCTGCATGACTTCTATAGGAATGGCGTAGATTTTGTTGTGCATCTCTACCGTTCGCCTCTTCCCGCTGCGAATCTTCACCAGAAGTACACGGAAGTTGGTTCCTCCGAGATCCAGGGCGAGAAAATCTCCGTTTTCTGTAAGAGAATCGAATCAGTCACCTCTACTTTTTTACTGCTGTTGTTTTAGAAGAAGAAATATTGCTTCAAGGTTTGCTTCTGCATACAGAGAATCAAAATCCTATCAGTGACCTCTTGTCTCTAACATTTTTACATACTCGTCTAAGCATGTTGAGCCTTTAATTATCTCACAGCCATTAGTTGTGGCAGATGAGTGGTGACAGTTCAAAGTGACAACATGCTGTCAGTTTTTTTGTTTTGTTCTTTAAATAATGCAGGAGAACCCGATTCACGACTGCATCTGGAAATGCAGCAAAGATTTTGGAAAACTGCCAAGTAAACAAACTACTGTAGGAAACCTCGGCTGTATTTAAGCTCCACACAGCGTCTCATGACCTCCTCACGGACGAGTCGGAGATGTTAGTTTGTGTTGTCTGTTCATGTCTGACCTGATAATGTGCTCTGAAATATTTCGTACATTTTGCAGGTGTTGCGTCAACCAGCTGCCATTTCTAAACTGCAGTTACAATAAATTAGCCACATCGTTTTTAGTGATTCAGGAAACTGATCGTAACATTTCACACCGATCAAAATGAGTCCACAAAGTCCATCTGATAAAATAATAAACTGCAAACGAACTCAACCCGACAGAGGATAAAGCGCTGTGCAGAAAACGGACGGATGGTTATCAAGCTAGCTTCAGCTCGCTGTTTGCTGGAGTTGTTCATCTCATGTTTCCGCCCTGCTGCGACTAACAGAGGAAACTAAATGGAAATTAAAAACATGACTGGAAATGGCAGTTTGCCAGGTTCCTTTTGTCTCAGCCGGCACAACAAGTCATTTAGAATAATTACCATGAAGCAATTGATCAATCATTTGTCACATGCATGACTGCTGAACTGCAGACTTACAAATCTAACTTCATGATAAATTCAGAACAGTTACTTAGTGAGGATCTAAATACTTTCCTTAATCAGTAAACATGCAGCATTTGTTGTGTGAAACAATGCGACAGGTGCTTCCTCTTAAGATTACCGTTGTACAGCCGTGACTCGATAATCGACCCTTAACGATCCTAAACCTGCTATCTGACAGCTTTCTAGGAACAGAACCCATAAAAACAGCCTTAACATAGCGACAGCCTTGGATTGTGACTCCGACATGACATTTAATGTCACCAATCAGGATGACGGCGTATTATCTGACTGAACAATCCCACAGATTGGCTACGTTCACACTGCAGGACTTGATGCTCAATGAGGATTTCTTTGTGACTTCCTTCACGTTTCCAGTTCAATGCGACTTGTATGTGATCTGCTGTGTGAACTTCATACGACCCAAAAGTGTCCCGCATGAAGAGGACACGACGACGTCACACGCAGCGAGCGTGCTCAGTGTTTATGGAAGTAAACATGGATGGTAATGGTGGAGCGTATCTGCCACTCCCCCGCCGCCACCGATGGTGGAAACAGAAGTGTGAGCGCTAACTAAACTAGCATCAGCAGCCAAGTACTGCCTGTGTGTTCTGGACACTTCCACCCCGTCAGAGCGCTGCCCCGGGGTGGAAGTGTCCCCCGACCACACCCAATATTCTGATATTCATCATTAATTGGGCCTGAATATCCAGAGAGCAGAAAGTTCTACTGGGACCAGCCCTACTAGTTATTATAACAACTATGAACAATAATTAACAACTAATGAGCCTTCCAGCATCAAGCCCTCCTCGTATCTGGACCTCCGTCTTGACAATCCGACAGCCTTGATATCAGACATAAAAGAAGGTTTTACATTTAGAGTCTGATTATCGAGTCACGACTGTACTTTACAAAAATGTAATAACTCTCTCTGACACAGGGATGACCTCTGTTTGGGGCAATACACCTCCGCTATGACACATAATCAGATTTCACTACACGCTACACTATCAGGTTAAACAGCAGTGCTGAGAAGAGGAAACAGACTCTACTGCTGGGTCTGGTCCGTCCACCTGTCTCTCTCTTTGAAGTCACCTGTTCCATCCGGTGTGCTCCGAACGAAGGTGGGCAACATTTTGACCGTGGCTTCCTCGTGGGTGTTCTTCTTCAGGCCTCTCTCGATCTCCACCCTCATCCGCTTCTTCACTTCTAACAGCTGAGTTTTGCTCAGCCGGAACTCTGCCAACGTCTGCTGAATCTGGCGCGCCTGCTCCGTCAAGCGGTACGCCACCGCCGTCACCATGGCTGCGCCTTTCGCACTCCCACTTTCAGACAGCAGGAAGCGGACATCTGAGTCTGGGACCAAGCGGCGCACTGTTTTGTGCAGACGGCGAGCGTATCTGTTCAGAGAGCACAAGATATTCAGAGAGGAATCCATTTGACACAAACACTATCTCCTCTCTCTGCTAGCACTGTTCTTTTTATATGTTCTTTACAGATTTGGAGAACACAAACACGTCAGCTCATATAAGATCACGACAAAATGAACTTTATAATCGTAAATGCAGAATTATCTTACTCCCCTTACTGGAAAACATCACATCTAAAGAAACCACAATCTGGATCAAAACATCTTATTCATGTGGGAGTTTTCATTCATGGGAGTCTGAAACCATGAAAAGGAAGTGTCTGCTGCACATCCTCGGTATTCCTCAGAGGATATTGTTTGTGTGTTTTATCTTTGCTTGCAACAGCCTTCATGTTACCCTCCAGAGCACCATGAAGGCGAACATGAAGACGTCACAGTGTTCAGGGCTCAGCAGGGCGTGTTAGCGTCACTCTGCCCTCAGCTTCTGTCTGATGGGATACTCACTGCGGATGCATCTTGTAGAGAGAGCCATCGATGCCCACTGTGGTGCGAAGGCGTGCAACTCCTTTGTTTTCCTTAAGGCGAGAGAGGATGCCTCCCAAAGTTGCAGAAATGAGATTTGCTGAGCGGAAGGATACGATGGTGCACACGTGCTGCACGGCCAGACAGTCCTCGTCCGACGGCTCCACCCCGAGCCTCGTCAGGATTTCCATGCATTTCTTCAGCCCTTCTTTAGTCCTAAAATGACAATTACTTCCCGTTATAGACCTCTGCTGTACCCTGTAGATTTGCATGAACATTTTTAGTCACCTTTAAAACCTAATTCCAGCTTTTTAAGTGGCAAATTTTTCCCAAAAGAAACAAGATATTTATTTTCCTTTTTCTTTTTCTTTGTAACGCTGTGAGTCACTCACTTTTCAATGGCAGAAACATGTTTTGTCTCGATCTTTCCTTTCGTCAGGAGCTCGGGGGTTATTCTCCCCTCGAACAGCAGTCCTTCTTTGGCCATCTTGACGAGGATGAGTCGAACCAGCTCGCCCATGTACATCCCACTGGCCATCTTCTCAAACCTGGCCAGAGAGAGAAGGCAGCATTTTCAGACTGCCACGGTTTGCATCTGTTCACCTCATATCTGTAACCTCCTCTGCTATTTCTGCAGTGTGTTCTAGAGCAGTGTGTGTACAATACGACGACAACTGATGATGGCAAAACATTAAATCTCATGAAAGTCAAGAGTACTACTGTGTTAACTACATTTTGGGGAATAAAATATACAGAAAGGCATCATAAATTCTGGGGAAAACATTACAAATGAAAGACACACAAACTAAAGTGTTAAAGAAACATCTTACAGCTGCTTTCCCGGGTTGACAGAACCTCTGTCAATCTCGCGGTCGAACTCCGTGCGAATGTCCTCGAGGGAGCCGTCATCCCCAAAGGCGCCCCACTCGGTGTTGATGCACATCCGGCCTTCGTCTCCTTCCACCAGGTCGATGTGACGCAGCTCCTCCATGTAGCAGGCGTTTGTCCCCGTTCCTGAAAGGTTGCACCCCTGCATGACTCCTGCTGTACCTGGCATTTGCTCTGTGGAGCTCAGTAGGCGGTCGTGTATCGTTGCAATGACGTCACGGTGGGGTTGGAAAACCTTTGGCGCCCCCACGTGTAGAGCTGTGGTCATGGTTCTGAAAGGTGCTTTGGACCAAGTCTAGTGCTACAGTCGCCCTCAAATGTATTCGTCCCCTTCCATTAAAGAAAAGGCAACATTCACACTCAAGTAACAAGAAACTGAAAAAAGTAATAATAAATAACAATTTGCTAAATTATAATTTAGTGAAATAAGACGTTGCTTTAGAATTGTGGTTGAAAAGAATAATTAAAAAAATAAAATAAAAACAGACAAATGAGAGCACTTTGCTGATGAGCAGGTGAGCAGTGGTCCAGAATACCTGTCAACAGGTGCAGAAGTCTGACTGAGAGTTACAGGAAACACCTGATGGCAGTGATTGGCTCAGAGGGTTGTTCAGCTACATGTTAGGTCCCATCAGGCTGGTTTTCTTGTGTGTTTTTTAATATTTCTGTTGAACCACAATTCAACAGCAACGTCACGATGTTCATTAAAGTTTTATTTATTATTACTTTCGTCAATTTCAACTTATTCCAGTGATTTTTTTTTTTAACGGGAGGCTGTGAATACATTTGAGGACGACTGTATGTGTGAGTGCTCTGACGCCAGCCTATCCTGGAATTTTACAAAGAAGTAGATGTTTCCCAAACTCATCTATGTAGATCTGTGTGGATCTTAAAAACGATTTAGCAACATCAATATTTAGTAAAATCCTGGAGCACTGATAAGAAAGAGTTGGTTTCTTTAAGTTCGACGCTTCAGAAAAAGACAGGATGATTTGTCTGATATTGCAGATGCAGCTTCTGGTGTTTATTTTTGTGTCGTGGTGCCTTTTAAGCCTCTGCAGGTTGTGCAACGATAAAAAACAATCAAAGCTTTTACCGATGATGATTCCCACTTCACAGCGCTGATCGTCAAATCCACACGTCATCATCGTGCCGACGGTGTCGTTCACCACGGCCATGATGTCCGCTTCATAGTCCTGCAACACGACATCAAAACAAAATGTAAAGAAAGTTTGGACTTCCGTCTTGGTCCAAAGATCATTTTCTCTTTTCAAAGTGCATTTCAGCTGTTAGAATCATGGCTTTAGTTTATTTATTATAAAATCTGAAGAAAAAAAAAAACTCACCCCTCGTTTCTTGATGGCTTTGTTCAGCAGCTTCACAACGTCCGCGCCTTCGACACCGCTGGCCTTAAACTTCTTTGTCCACGTCACTAAGACGGCCTATAAAACAAGGACTTTTATAAGGCTAGCCTTTAACTTACGAGTCTGACATGTCTGTCCGTTGCTATTCCAGTCACGGCAGCATCCAACACATTTCCTCCCACTTTAAAGTTACCGTGAAGACATTTCTACTGACTTAAAACACATAATTATCTGCTTTATCAAAGAAGACAAGCTGCTGTGAACTGATTATTGATGATATTGTGGAATTTCTACGACTACATTCACAGGGCTTTTGTGAAAACTATGACAAAAGATTAAAACATAACATTCTGAAGCAAAGACGTGCAGCTTGATGGTGCAGAAAGAAGCATTTAATCAAGCAGAGACCTCAGAGTGCGTCTCTACAGTCACAGTGTGGATACTGCGGTGATGTGGATCTTTGTGTTTACCTCGTCCAGTTTGGTTTGGGCACAGGGGAAGGAGAACGTAAATCCCACAGGGAGCTTTTTGTCCTTGATTTTTTGCTTCTCCATGAAGTCACCCAGGCACTCGGCAACATGGTCAAAGAGCTGCAGGCAGGAGAGAGACTTTTAAACGGCAGCATCATGTTTTACTGGCATCTCACGTTTTCTTTGTCATGTCAGGTTGTGTTTTCTCTTTCCCCGTTAATATTGTAAAATCACCAATTCTCTCTGTAACATCCATCCATCATCTATACACCGTTTAACCCTCACGGGGGGCTGGAGTCTATCCCAGCTGACTCAGGGTGAAGGCAGGTTCACCTGGACAGGTAACCAGTCTATCACAGGGCTACACTTAGAGACAGACAACCAAGCACACTCACATTCACACCTACGGACAATTTACAATCACCAATTAACCTCAGCATGTTTCTGGACTGTGGGAGGAAGCCGGAGAACCCGGAGAGAACCCACGGGGAGAACATGGAGAAAGATCCCAGGTGTCCTCACCGGGACAGCGAGGCAACGGGGCAAACCACTGAGCCACCGCGCAGCCCTCTCTGTAACTTCATTTATACAAATATTTAAGTAATGTCAAGCTTTTTATTAGGTTGTTTGTATTTTAAAACAGCAAATCATTGCAGGTTTATAGAAAAAAGCTAACAGATACTGTACCGGCTCTTTTTTTTATGTCATATTATTATTATTACGATATTTTTGGTGACACTTCCTTCAGTTAATGAGCTGATGTGTGACTGAAAATTCTTTGAAAGGTTCTGACAGAACTTTGTAATCTGGTATTAATTTGTGTAACTGAAAGGAAAACAGTGTTCAAAACAATTAAAATTCAGCATCATACCATCTCAGTTCCTGCTCTGCTTCTCGTCCTTTGCAGAGTTGCACAAACCAACAGAAGCCTTTTCGCTACACTGAAGTCTGTTTTACCAAATCTCAATCACAAAGCAAACACAGCTCTTTGTTAACAAACCTGCTGGCGTATCGCGTTACATTAGCTGCCAGCTGTCCCTTCAACATTTCATTAAACAGCATCTGTCTTGTTCCGTCTGTGTAAGTCGTGCCCCGAACCGATCAAACCGCCGAGACGGTCGCGCATGTTTTGGTGATCGTGTTACGATACGAGCGCCAGCTGTTCTCCACGAGTTCAGCGTGGGTCAGCGTGGGTTGTAACGTCGCTCCGGCTAACGTCAGCGTTACTAAGGAGCTCGTATTACACAGAGCGGTCCTGGAACTGACCTTAAATACAACCAGGCTGTGTGTGTGCAGGGCAGACGGAGACACTGAACAACTGAGTGTCTGACGTTTGTAGTTGCTGATGATAAGGACGACAACATGAGGACGTTCCAGATGATGACAACAGTTTTCGATCAATTTAGGAAAAACCAAGAATGTTGAATCCTGATGCTTCCAAACATACAAGAAAGTTTAATCTTCTGAAACCCACCAGCAGGTTCGAAGGGCTCGTTATCCTTAAAATAAATGACCTCATTTACACCATGCTGCCCCCGCAACCCGACCCCGGATAGGCGGAAGACAATGGATGGATGGATGGATGGATGGACACCATTTACGTGAGGCAGAGCGACAGACAGAGTTGTTGGATTTCCAGCTTCTTAAAGATGCTTGAAACATTTACGACATGCGATCAGCGTCACTTTATTCTGTCCCAGTTTAAACAACCGGCAAAAACAAGCAGTTTGCACCAGATCCTGTA